GATCCTGGTAGGTGACATTTAGAGTAGATCGAAAGGTATTCAGGTAGTTACCTATGGGAGTGAAACTAGCATTGGAGCCATGAACCATAAACCCAGGAAAAATAATAGAAAGAAGTAGAGAAACCCATTCCAATGGTTTAATTCTTGCCATTTCCCTTAACCCAAATCATCAAAACTTCACCGATCACTCGAATTCTGATGAATCCTAATGTAGGAGCCTACGGCCCAAGCCAATAGTGGATGCGTGCATGGGAGAGGCGGCAAGTAGAGTGGACCTAATGAGAGCACGCGTAGAGCAAAGACCGACACGTTGTCATGGAGCTAGTCGTTGGGGCCCGTGTGGCACTCGAATGCGACGAGTAAGCCTAAGCGACAAGCAACAACACAAGAAAAGGCAACAAAAATGGCACACGAATTCGACAAAAGGCAAATTGTATTGCATTAATGGATGGCAAGCATAAGCACACAGTTCAGTGTCGGGGGAATCTCATGCTTAACCTTTACATGCTCTTGATTCACTTGACTACCTACCTCCCCTCAAAGAGTATGTTAAGCTTTTGGGGGAGTGATATAAAGATACATCAAAAGGATGAAAAATCATACTAGGTAATTACAAGAATGCCATTGGCAATCCCCCATACAAAAATACATGCATAGCCCACCCATGACACACACTTGGACACTGGAGTGGCTGTTGTAGGCACGATGGATGGTACTTGATGGTGCGGTGAAGAGAACACTTGTGACAGTCTCTCCCACTCAATTTAGTCTTCGTCGTCAAAGACTGGCTTCTGCTCGAGGCTCAGATCTGCTGTTGATGAAGGAGGGTTCTTCAGCTGCTCCACGAACTTTGTCTCTTCCAAGGCCCGGGCATGATGATGGGTGAAAATCTTTAGGGTGTTCTTGATGGTGGGAAAACCTATGGCTAGTCCCTACGTTAAGTCCTTGTCTGGCTGCTTCAAGGTAGGATTTTGGATGTTTTGCTTTGGTGTTAGGAAGGTTTGTGGCCAGGGCTAGGTCAAAATGAAGGTTTGGATTTTTCGGGTATTGTTCCCCCTGATGATTTTTTTCCCAAGGGTTGATCCTCACAAGGCTCCTATGAGGGTTGGTTTGATCATTGTGGTGGCGGACAGGGTACCTAAGAGAATTTGGTGGTACTCGCTCTCCCCGATGATGGTCAGACTAGAACTGGTTATGGCTGGAGACGGCCTTGGGTCTTCCAAGAGTCTTCTGTGTTGTCGGCTTATGGCGCTGTCGTTGGTGCCGTTGTTGATGTTGGTACTGGCGTTGGTGCTGGTGTCGATGCTGGCGCTGATGTTGGAACGACTTTGGGGGAGACTTCTTCCTGGTGATGACTTCCCAACCCGTCCCAGTGCTAATGTGAGATAATTGAGACGGGGTCCTTGTAGGCACGACACTAGCTTCGTGGGTATCTGCTTCCTGATAGTATTGCAGGGCCGAAAGTTGCTTCTCATGTACCTTCAAGGCTGTTGTCACTGGAACCATGCAAGGAGAACACTCGTCCAAGATGAGCAGACTATCTATGTGTGGCATGAGAGCTGCTTCCGCCTGTGCGAGAAACTCCATTCCCAAGACAACCTAAAAATCATCGAAAGGTACTACAGATAGATTGATGGGTCCTTTCCATGACCCAACATGGAGATTTACCCCACGAGCCATGGGTGGCCCCAGTGTCCACCAAGGCTTAGGTCGGCCTCCCAAAGAGGGTGATGTCTACATATTTCAGCCCCTTGTGGGCTTTGGTGGGCTGCTTGGATGTGGCTTCTTTCTTAACCATGGTGTTGAGTTTGGTGATGAGAGTAGTGAGTTTCTTCCGTGTTGGACAGTCACTCATCCAATGATTCCCATTGCAAAGGTAACAAGGCGCAAGAGGAGTGGTTGGTCTCCTAGTGAACCGATGGCCCCGATAGCTTGGGGCTCCTTGTGGATTCTTCCCTTGTTGGTAATTGTTGGGCTTGTTAGTGGGCACTGGTTTCTCCTATGTAGAGGTTGATTTCTAATCTCTCCCACTCAAGCTATTGATACATGGGCTATGTGGTTGGTGGTCTTCCTCTTATGACTTCCTTAGATCAACTAGTTTCTCGGCCACTGCCATGGCTGTTGCTAAGTCCTCCACCCCACGCCGTTGTAGTTTGAGTTACGCCCATGGTTTGATACCATCCATGAAGTTGAACAAAAGGTCTTTGTCAGACATGTCGGAGATCTCAAGGGTCAGGCCTGAGAACTCTTGGACATAGTCATGCAATGAGTCTTGGTGCTTCAAGTTCTTCAACTTTCTTCGTGTCAAGTACTCAACATTTTCGGGGAAGAACTGTCGCTTGATCTCTCTCTTGAAATCGGCCCAGGTGTTGAGGGTCCGAGTGCCACGTTCAATGTCCTTGCAACATCTACGCCACCATAGCATTGCAATATCATTTAAATACATGACGACTGTACATACCTGAGTTTGGTCATCATGGATGCTAGTCGCAGAGAAGTACTGATCAAGTTGCCACAAGAAATTTTCAAGCTCCCGAGCATCACGAGCATCGAAGTATGGAGTTGGTTGGCGCACCTTGATGTGGGTGGATGGAGCAGATGAAGGGTCGGTGGAATTGGCCATAGCTCTTTTCATGATTGTCAGCTCAGTCCTCATCTCATCCAATTGTGCTTGGAAGCTGTCCATCATGCCTTGAAGGCTGCTTTGGGAAGAGTTGGCTTGTGACTGCTGCAAGGTGTTCTGGACGTCTCGGACGGCTCCGTTAAAGCGATTCTCTAGCTCCATCACAACATTCTCTACCATCTCCATGTTGAGATGGAGTTCGTCGACCCGGTCTCGAGTCTCACCTACTGTTGCCTCACAGTGTAGGATGTGCATGTCCATGCTAGCTAGTTGATCGACAGATTTGTCATGCTTGCTAGCTTTAGTTGTGCGGCCCTTTGGGGCTTGCGTCTTGGTAGGATCGTCAAGTGGAGCCTCATTGGTGTCGTGGGCTTTGTGCAGCCCGTGTAGTGTGTCATCGGCAATGTCACGATTGCTCTTCATCGTGCTGAAGTAAGGGCGAAGACAGGGTCCAATGTGTGTGTAGGAGCTCCTGCTCTGATACCAACTGTCACAGGGCTAGTCGTTGGGGCCCTGTGCGGCACTCAAATGCGACGAGTAAGCCTAAGTGACAAGCAACAACACAAGAAAAGGCAACAAAGATGACACACGAATTAGACAAAAGGCAAATTGTATTGCATTAATGGATGGCAAGCATAAGCATACAGTTCAGTGTCGAGGGGATCTTATGCTTAAACTTTATATGCTCTTGATTCACTCGACTACCTACCTCCCCTCAAAGAGTTAATCATTTGGGGGAGTGACATAAAGATACATCAAAAGGATGAAAAATCATACTAGGTAATTACAAGAATGCCATTGGCAATCCCCCATACAAAAATACATGCATAGCTCACCCATGACACACACTTGGACACTGGAGTGGCGGTTGTAGGCACGATTGGATGGCACTTGATGGCGCGGAAAAGAGAACACTTGTGATAACGCGACATGGGGCCAGTAGTATGGCTGCATGTGGTGGCCTCGGATGGTCGCGCCCTCATGGCTAGACCGCACCCTGGCTGTCCGCATCCACCTACCTCCAGGCGGCCTCAAATATAAATAGGGAGTGACCCCCAAAGGTAAATATCTAGACTCTTCATAACTGAGAACTTTCTTACTTTCCTTTGTGGCCTCGTATGAGCATCCCAATCTCAGGCCTCGTCCACCTTTTTTCACTCCCGTGCTAACTTGACTGTTGGAGTCTTCGCCTCGGGTCACCACCCGAGGACTCTGATGTTATCTCTCTCTCTCTACAAGTCCAAACTACTGGTCATCGGCCATTATGGACCTCAAACACATTAGTCAACACCTCAACTTGGAAACAAATTTACTTTGTTTCCCTTGGCCCATCCTAGGCACCAACAAATCCAAACTTTGAACACTCCAAAATCATGGGCTCCAACACTATTTATAACATTTCCTTCTTCTATGGAAGACAATGAATAGTGTCTTCTATTGAAGGATAGTTTTGATATTTCCAATATTAACTGATGGACTGTTTACGGTAAGGACAGACACATTTTGAAATTTCAGATACTGCAATGACACGCTATGAAGTTTGGGGACTGACTTGAAATACCCCCTAAAGTTCAAGCATTGATCAGGAATTTTCTAAAAGAAAAAAGACTGACTTAAGACTAGGGATGGCAATTTCGCAGGAATTTTTAAGTATCAGAACCACCTTGACCCTAATAGGACCCATTTATCAAAACTATAGGGATTGGGATTTAAGATTAAAACCTTGTAAGGTTTGGGACAGATTTGGGTTTTGACTTTAGAGTATCCGATACCCGATACCTGAGGTGCATAAATATGAACCAATTATATTATATATCATGCAAAAATTTGCAATTTTTAATTACTAAGATAATTATTTTATTATTAATAATTTATTTATATAAATTTATTGGGATTAAAATCATCATTAGATGTAAATTTGGATTTAATAGATTGTTTATTTCATTTAGTTATAAAATGCTAATTTTAAATATTATTATTTTAACTTTTAGTTGGAATTATATGTATTGATTGTTTTGATGAACACAAAAGTTAATAAAATCTATTTTATTTCATTAAATAACACAAAAGGTGAGATGGGTAAGTTGCTTAAAGTTGTGCTATTATAATTAATTGGTTTGGGTTCAAGATAAGCTATAAGCATTAAGAATTTTTTTTAGTAAAAAACATTTGATCAAGGGGTTTAACAAGTGGGACGGGACGAGATGGGTTTGGAACGGGACAGGTTTAGGAAATTGAGAGGAAAAGTTAGACACTTTAGAATCAACATACATACATAAGTGGGTTCGAGAATGGGTAGGAAAAGTTGCCATTCGATTTTGCATCCCAAGACGCACGAATCCGTCAATAAGAGTGGACAATTGTTGCCATTCGAGTTTGCATCCCAACACACACAAATCCGCCGATAAGAATGGAGCATATTGGCATTTTGAATCTAAGATAACGTAGATGTTCAAAAGAAACCTGGTTGAATCAGAAGAACAAATCATAAACAGCTTCTTTTCGAAGTGTTTCAAAAGACATAATGGCGACCCTCTTTTTGGCACACGGGTTCGGCATCGGTGGTGACAATCCACTTTTTATCACAATTATTTCCGAGTATACCAATAAAAAGACTACTCGTGTGGTCTTTATTTGCTGCCGTCTTCACCGTGGAAGAATTTGGGATCTTAGTTGATGGCGCCCTGCTCGGTACACAGGACAGCGGCAACAACTCGTTTGGCTTATTCTCCAAGGATTTCTTCGTCGGCGTCGCCATGGCCTTCATCTGCTCGGTTCAACCGAGTTTCTTTTGAACGTCCGTTAAGTTACCATAGATTCGAAATGCCGATGTGGTCTATTTTTATGGGCGGGTTCACGCGCCCCGTGAACCCACGGGTTCTTGCCATTCCTACTTAAAACAACCCAGGTACTGATCAGAAATTTTCCAAAAAAAAAAGTCGGATTGCTCAACGATCTTATTTATCTCTTTGAACTCTTTCATTCTCTCTCTTTAATCTGTTGTTTCTGAAACCCAAAGAGATGCATAAGTCGAAGTTGCAAGAACTCTGCCAGAGGAAGACATGGAGCTTACCCAAGTATACATGGACGAAGGAGGGACCCGATCATAACCCTTGCTTCAAAGCTTCTGTTTTCGTCAATGGGATCTCTTTCGATACCTCAAACTCCTCCAGATCCTCAAAAGAGGCTCAGAACGAAGCTGCTAAAATTGCTCTTGACTACTTCTGTACTTCTGCCCGTCCTCCTCCTGATGACAATCAGAGTGTCGGAGATTCTACCTCTAATCCTTCGGTTTCGGCTGGTATGGTTATCAAGTTACTAAGAAACCCATTTGTTCTGAAATGTTTTTGATGTGGTTAGGTCTCAGAATTGGACATTAATTTTGCTGTTTTCACTTCTTGGATTGTTTTCAAGGGATTCTTTTTGTGGTTTATTAGCCTTTCTTTACCATTTTAGCATTCGTGCATCTATAAACCCTAAGGCTTTGGTCATTGGAAAGGTTTATTTTGATGCAATTCCCTATTGAAAGAAATATTTCCACATATATGAGTTCTTGAAGAAAGGGATTAACCTGCTATTTTTTCTTGGTTTTCTTTTCTTCTTATATTTTAATTATGAGGTTTCTAATAAGTGAAATACTGTCTATATCAGATTCTGGAAATTGTTTTAATGTACTTTCTTGATCAATTTGCAAAAAGAATTTTTAACGGTTTTAGTTTTGGTGAAAGATTTGATCGCCACAACAAACTAACATTTGGTTATAAGAGAAGAAGGTAAAAATGTCATTATGATTTAATCCTATTTTGCTATATCAGCTATATCGTTATTTGTTTATTTATTTTTTCATATTTTTAGGTTCTGTATTGCTGCTTTTGATTAAAAAATTATTGGTCGCTGCCACTTGTGTTGCTAAAATTTCTGATTTCTGAGGTGAATTCTTGGAGTTTGGGTTTTCTATCCACAACGCTATTCGCAAAATATTACAGCCACACATCAGGAACATCTCAGTTGTCATTCATGGGGAGATGTTCCTGATATATGGCTCTGGTTGTCTTGTGGGTACATGTGGGTAGTGTCTTTGTGGGTAGAGGATCTGAGCTCATTTCTTGGGGGTGGACCCTAAAATTGTTGTCTGTCCAATTTGAAGACACGTGGAATGGAGATCATGGGATCTTTGGCTCATATTGCTTGGGTTAGAAGGTGTTATTTGTTGATTGTCTATCAGGTGGTTTAATGTTCACTCAATTATTTTTGATTGGTATTGTGAAGTCTTAAACAGGAATATTGTAATCAATAACCTCTGTTATGATATTGTGAAGTCTAAAACATGAATGCTATATGTGTTGCATAATATAAACCCTGATTTTACTATGCATATTCCAGACATTGTTATCTTGATATATATTTTTTTCTTTTTGATAATTCTTTAGGTTATTCAAGTGCAAGAACTGAGTTACAAAGTAATTCTGGCATTGGAGGAAGGTTGTCACCAAAGAATTCTATAACAGGAGGAAATATGTTAAGTGTCAAAAATGACAAAGAGTTTGGAGGTTGGGCAATACTTTTCTTTAGTGGCATTATTTTTTGGTCTTTATATGGATTGCTTTTCCCAGGATGTTGCTTAATCATACTTAATTTGCATTCTATATGATATCCTTTGCATATTATAACAGAAAGATTATTATTCTTCATAATGCATATACACAAACCAGAAATAACAGTAAAAGAAAAAAAGAAAGATTATTATTCTCATACAGGCTTGAATCCTACCCATATTTCTGGTGAAGAATTTTGGCACCCTCAAGAAGGCTGGCTGCAATGGCAGAGAGTAAGAAGAAGTTGGTTTGGCTGGTTTATTTGCCTAATGGAGGTCCATTCCCAGTTTTAAAGATGGCTGTTTTGGTGGGGTTGTGGGAAGGTTTTGAAGTTTCCCTGGTAGGAGAAAACGTGCAGGTACTTCAGTTTGCTTGGAAGTGATGTTGGGCATTTTCTGCTGGTTTGAGGTGGTTTCTGAGCTTAAAGTCAGTTTGGGTAAAAGTCTTATTATCCCACTTGGGCAGGTTGAGGATGTGGAGGCTTTGGCTGATGTGTTGGTTTGTTAGGTGGATCACCTATGGGTGAAGTATCTAGGGTTGCCCTTGGGCGCCAAGTGCATTTCCTCTTCCATCTGGGATCCAATTGTTGACCAACTGGAGAAAAAGCTCTCTTCTTGGAAGGCTAAGTATCTCTCTTTTGGTGGAAGGGTCACTCTTATTAAGAGCACTTTGGCCGCCAATCTTCCTACTTATTACCTCTCTCTTTACCCAGTCCCAATAAAAGTGGTTAAACAGAGAGAAAAAATGCAAAGAGACTTATGTGGAGAGGATGGGAAGAGGAGAAGAAGATCCACTTGTCAGTCCTTCAAAATTAAACTTCTTATTATGGGTTTTGGTGCTAGACAGATTCTGACTAAGGAGGGCCTATCTAGGAGGGGCATGCAACTTCAAGACTTGAACTATGGCTGATCACCTGTGCGGTTGTATGGTCTCCTATCAAATCCGGGGGCATTTTTTCAGAGCTGTTGGGATCTGCTGGGTCATGCCACATTCAGTTAGAGATTTTCTGTGGTATTGGAACTTGTGGGCTTGAGCAGAAATAATGTGTTTGGAGATCTATCCCCACTGCTGTAACAAGAAGAATTTGGATGAGTTAACCGGTTTGGCTTTTGTAGGGTGGTACTTGGGTCTCTGTTGTGAAAGAGTTTAAGCAGTAGAGTGCTTCTTTATTGCTTAGCTCTAGAAGTTTGTGGGAATTCTAAGCTGGTGTCTCCTCCTGGGTGGGGGCTTCTTGCTCCCAGAATGCTCCTGGGTAGAGACATGTGTCCAGAGAGGACCAGGTGCTTATCGCATGGTTTTCCTCGTCTCCTTCACGATTTGACCACACAGTGCAATCTGAGCTCCTTTTCCTTGTGCGCACAAAGTACTTCTTTGTCTAGACGTGAGAAGCATGAGACTCAATTTTGGCGAGCCCCTTAGAGAGGTTGTCATTTTGGGACTTTGACGGTTCTCGTGAAGCTGGACGTCAAATCTCTAGGTGGCATTTGATGTTCTTCTGATTCTGTGAGCATCGCAAGAAGAAAGAATAGAAAAGGAGATTGCAGAGAAACTGTGAGATTTTTCTTAGTAAACCTAGTGATTTAAAAGGCGTGCCTAGGCGCACAGGTGAGGCCCGGTGCTCACCAATTTGGTAATGTTGTTCATTCATTCATCCTAATAAAATGTCTTCTTAAAAAGCAAGTAAAACTATAAAACCATTATTTTTTTTGTGTGAAAACTAAGAATTTAAGACCTAACGTGGACTTGTTTAGGCTAGGCTTGAGGGTTGTATCACAAAGGCGACTCGTAGAATCAGGAATGTAATATGTTTTACATTACATTAGCTATGTGAAGTAATGCAATTGAGTGCAAAAAAAGATTAGAGGTTTTAAATGCTTGAAAATGTTTTATATGTTTGATTTTATTTTTAAATTCTCATTTGAATATGCTTTACATAATTACATCTTATGTTTATGTATTTTAATTTTAGATAATAGGTTTTTTAAAACATTATTTTAAAATTTAACTTTATATTTTTTATTAATATTATGTTTAGTATTTTTTTGAAAAATTTGGCAAATTTTTTTTGAATTTTCTGACATTTTTTTTTATTTTTTAGCAATTTTTTTGCGCCTTGCCTTGCGTCTTAGGCGCAAATTGACCCCTGCGCCTTTTTTGCACCTTGTGCTTTTAAAACAATGAGTGGGCTGGATAAAGAATCTAGATTCAGTAATATGGTACTATATAGATGAAATGAAGAAGTTCAAATGGCTAACACAACATATGAATCTGATTATACAATGGGTGTGGAGGGAAGCTAATTGTTTGGCTGATTATTTACCCAAACAAGGGGTAATTAGGGATCAGTTGTTTTGGGCACGGTTATAAAATTCTTGCTGCTTTTAACTGTTACTTATTATTTTTGATATCAATAAAATTTTAACTTTATTCATAAAAAAGAGATTGTGGGTTTTACATGCTTGAAAATGTTTTATATGTTTGATTTTATTTTTAAATTTTCATTTGAATACGCTTTACATGTTATGTTTATGTATTTTAATTTTAGATAATAGGTTTTTAAACATTTATTTTAAAATTTAAATTTATATTATTTATTAATATCATGTTTAATATTTTTTTGATTTTTTGAAATTTTGGGCATTTTTTTGAATTTCTGACATTTTTGAGTTTTTTTGGCATTTTTTGTATTTTTGCGCCTTGCTTAAAAAAGCGAGTGCCTCATCTTGTGCCTTGCGCCTCAGGTAGAAATTGCTCCCTGTGCTTTTAAAACACTAAGTAAACCATGGTGGCAGAGGAGTAAATTGTCCCACCATGTACAAGATTTCCTAATTCTCCTGTGTTGTTGGTATTTCACTTCTAGAGAAGAAAATATAGATCTTCTGCACTACTGTTTTACATCAAAGCAATCAAATCTGGATACAGATGTGTTTTGTGTCTGGATGAAGAGGACAACATTTTGCATCTGTTGGTCCAATGCAATTTTGTGAAAGGTATTTGGGCCTACTTTTTCAAGCTCTTCAAGGTTGCCGGATGGGTGCCAACTGATACTGCTGAGATCCTTTGTTTCTGGCCAAGATTCCATGGAAATCCTAATTCTAAAATCATTTGGAGCTGCATCGTCTTTGCTGTTTGCTGGGAGGTTTGAAAGGAGAGAAACAAAAGAATCTATGAGGGGAAGATGAAAAGCTTGGAAGAAGTTGGGGCAACAATCAACTTGGAGATGGTTGGGTGCTGGCTCTTCCAGAATTTAAAGGCTTCCGGAAAGAAGATTATGGAACTGCCTTTTGGTGCATTTTAAATGTGGGCTTCTTGTATTTTGGATTAGTAATTCTCTCATTTTTTTCTTGTTTTTTTTTTTTTTTGTTTGCTGGGGGTGACTCCTTGTCACATATTGTTTGATGTATTTTCTCATTTTAGCAATAAAATTTTCTTCTTTATTTATCTTAAAAAATCTGGTATATAGTGATATGGGATCTTGGTCGAATATGCCAACAGTGATACAGAAATGTATAAAAAATTAAAGGCATTAGCAATAGAGAAATAGGAAAGAAAAGATGCACCTATAAATTAGCATGATTCCTTTTAACAGGATGTGGCTTTATATATTGATTCCTTTTCTGTATTTTTGTTCTGATGGAATATTGATGGTTTGGGAGTCAAGCCCAGCTGATTTTTTGACTAGTTGATTGTCGTATTGCAACAATTGAGCCAGCTCTGCAATTAGGACCTGATTTTGATGTGAAACTATTGGTATTCATTGTTCTTTGAATCCCATATAACTCCTGGATGAAACTGATCTGATTGTGAGTCTAACCACCATGTATCTGATTGTGAGTCTAACCACCATGTGTTACAATTTTTTTTTCAGCATTTAAGAGATTAATCCATAACTACATGCTTAAATCATCTTGATACACTCAAGAAGGCTGGCTGCAATGGCAGAGGGTGAAAGAATGATCTTTGTTTTTTTTTTTTTTTTGCTAAGAAAACAAAAGTGCTCTGCTTCATACAAATGAAATGAGCTTTCTTAGAGGCTGCAGAGAAGAAACAATAAAAGAAAAAGAGAGATGAGTTGATAGATAGTATGTAGGAGGAAAGAGGAGGGTGGGCTGGGATTAGGGAACTTAGTTTTGAAGAATAAAGCTCTCTTAGGTAAATGGTGGTGGAGGTGGCCCTTAGAACAGGAGAGTCTGTGGCATGAGGTGATAGATAGTATACATGGTAGACAATCAATAAATAACACACTCCTTGGAAAGCAATTTAGAGTATCCTCCTTTTTTTCCTCAACTTTATCAGGTATGATGTCAATTATGGTACTTCTATTTTATTTTGGGAAGATGTCTGGGTGGGCAATTCTGCCCTTAAGGACAGTTTCCCTTCTCTTTATTCCCTTTCTTGTTAAAAGAATAAAGCAATCTCACACTTTCTTCCAACATCTGTTTCTCATTCCTCTCTGAATTGGGACTGGGGGTTTTGTCGGGGCTTGAGGGATCATGAGCTCTCTTGTGTTTCAAACCTTTTCTCACTACTTGGAAGTGTTTTTCTGGACCCTCTCAGATCTGATGTAAGACTTTGGTCCTCTAATCCAAAAGGTTATTTCATGTGTGCCTCCTTCTTTAAGTCCATTTGCTTTTCCTCGGGACAGATGGGTTTTCCAGCTAAGGAGATTTGGTCTAGACCTGTACCTCCTAAAATTATTATTTTCTGCTAGGAGGTGTTCTATAGGAAAATCAACACTTCAGACTTATTGCAGAAGAGAAGGCCTTTCCATGTGTTTGTCTCCTAACTGGTGTGTACTTTGCAGGGCTAATGGTGAGGATTGCTCTCACTTACTTTTAACCTGTTCTTTTTCTGATGCTATTTGGAGTTGGATCTTTAACTTGTTCGGGTACAAGTGGAATTTGACTACAACTGTGGTCAGCTCTTTGACCCTTCCTTCTTTGTGTGGCCCACAAAAAATGGTAAAACAATGTGGAGGTGCATTATAGCTGCTGCTCTGTGGACAATTTGGGAAGAAAGAAATGTGAGGATTTTCCAAGAGAACGAGAGAAATATTCAGACTGTAAAGGATTGTTTTTTGACCCAGGGCAATCCATTGGCTCAGATAATTGGAATCCTTTAAAATATACTCCTTTGATGACATTTGGAGGAATTGGGTAGTTGTGGCTAGTAGCAGTACTAGGAAGAACAAGGTACCAGCTGTGTGGGTGCCTCCTTCTGAAGGCTGGACAAAGCTGAATTTTGATGGTAGCAGCCAAGGAAATTCAGGTCCTTCAAGGATAGGAGGGTTGCTGAGAGATAAAGACAGCAATATCTTAGCTTTATTTTCAGGCTCCGTGGGTATAGAAGACTCTATTAGAGCTGAGCTTCTAGTGGCGGTACAAGGTATTCAGATTGTAGATCAGTTAGGAGTTCAGAATTTGCTTATTGAAGGAGATTCCAAAGTTGTTGTGGGTTGGTTAAAAAATCCAGATTCAATTATTTGGTGCTATAGGGATATTATGAAGAAAGTTAATTGGTTTTCAAGGAACATGACTGTTATTTCTCAGTGGGTGGGTAGAACAGCTTATGCCATAGCGGATGGGTTAGCTAAGCAAGGGGTATCAAGGGAACATTTATTCTGGGCAGCTCTGTAAACTTTCATTTCCGAGCCTGATGTCGTACATTGTTGTTGTTGAGGAGAGGTACCAGCTCGTGCCTCTCCTCGGGTAGTCTGTATTGTAACATCATTTTGTTTCCTTTGAATAAAATGGCATTCATTTATCAAAAAAAAAAAAAAAAAAAAGAGAGATGAGAGAGCGATTGGGGGCAGGGGAGGGTGGGAGGGCTACATTAAGTAGCAAGGTAGCAAGGTAGAAGACCTAGAGTTCCTAGAGTTTTGTTGTTGGAAGTTCATGTTTACTCACATTTCTTTGTCCAAGTGCTGTAGAGCTTTTGGTATGATGTAATTGGGCAAGAAACAGCCTCTAATTCCTTCCCATTCCTAGATAGAAATGGATAGACTAGTCCAAACAGTAAATTAGTAAATTCTCGCCCTACCTTAGCAACGGTGGGCTAGAAATGGGTTCTTGGAAGCAAACCAAATGGGGCTGGGTACTAGGCCTGTAAAAGGAGTGAATTCAAATAGAATCAGACCATATTTGAATTCAATTTCGATTAAACAGTGATTCAAAGCACGTGCTTATCCGCACACTTGTACACGTTCAATGGAGGATGAGAACAAACACTCCTGTAAGGGTTTTTTCTTCTATGTAATAACTTTCTGTTGAAATTACACTATTGCCCTTCCGTATATGTGTGAACCACACACTTGTATATGATTTTTAGTTGTTCCTCCAAAACACGTGCTTATCCTGGAGTGTTCCTTTGGAATGGTTCTGATGAAATGATGAAATCATCATTTCTTAGAAACACATTTTTGGAAGACTGTTCTTGCCTGGGAACAGAACCTCTGGAACGCCAAAGATCATTCCAAACACAGTTCTGTTTTGCGGGAACATCTGGAACGCCAGAAATGTTAACAATGCCAAATGGGGCCTTTGCTGAGTTTCTTTCCATACAGAGTGTTAACACTGTACAAATAAATCGAGGAATAAAAGGGGTTAGGTGGTGGTTCACCAGCCTAACAAAACATTCTGTTGTAGACAACATTCCTTTTCTAAATTAGTAAAGTTTACTGATTTAAATAAAAAATGCAACTAATAGATAAATACCCATAATGATAAGAAAAGGGGGCTGTGGTTTGCGCTGGAAATGAAGTGGTCTTGGTCATGGAGGAAGAGGAGAGAGCTAGGAAGGGTAAGGCAGAAAAAAACAAGGAGGGTGGGGCTGGCGGGATCCAAACAATAGTTAAAGATTGTGATATGGCTTCTGTTTGTGTTGATCCTATTCTGAAAAAATACAATTGATAAAGATGGTGAGAATGCTTTGGTTGCTGAAGTTGTGGTTAGAAAGCTAGGTGTAGATTTGGGGCATAGGAGGTAGGAACTAAAAATTCTGAGTTTGATGCTTCATTGGGAGATCTGAAAAAAATCTAGGGCTTTAAATAAAACCCATTTAGTGCATATTACAAAAGTGTTTTCACGTCTGAAAGATGGTCTTGTAGGGGCAGGCCCAACTAACAAATTTAAAAAATGTACAAAAAGAAAAGGGATTAAACCTAGAGGTCCAAGGCTTATGGCTAACTCCGGGAAAGGTCAGGGGGTGCAGAATCTTGAAAGAAGTGCTGATTTACCATTGAATATTCCTAGGGGGAGGGGGACTTGAATCAAAGTGGTGACTTGGGGGAAAAGACGAAAGAGGATAAGGAGGGGGTGGTGGGATCAAAAGGGGAGGAGGTGCAACAAGGATTAGATTTAAGTGTGCTTGTTGATAGGGAGGTGGAGATCGGCAAGTCTTTAGGTCTTTTCTTCTTGGGAGGTGACACTTTTGCAAGAAGAGCTTTTGAGGAGTACGAGTAGAGGAGGGAAGAGAGTCCGAAGAAGACCAGAGTTGGGGAAGGGGGAGAGACTTGGAATGAGGGAGGGAAGGGAGATTATTGTGATGAGGTGCAACAAGGATGCTTGTTTTGCACTTGTCAGTTGGTGCTATCTTAGCACCCTCTTGGTTGTATTAATTTTTCCTTTTTTTCATTAAGTAAAATTTTCTTTTATTATCAAAAACATGTATCTCCATATTTCATTGGCAAAGGTCCAAGTAAAGAAATGTTGGTTGATTACTTGTTGAAAAAAGGTGATTGCTTTTTTTCCCAATTCTTTTAGGTTTACCTTACTCTTCTTTTTATGCATACACACAAATTTGGTGTGCTGTTTTAATCTTATATGCTTGTTCAGTTTATCACATGCCTCCCCAGTATCTGACTCCATTGTCATTACCTTCCTCATCTCTAAATGTTACTGTATGTCTCACAATTGGATCTTGTTCTAGATATGCAACATCTGTATAAGAACCAACTCCAAAGTTATGCCCAAAGGAAAAGTACTGCTCTACCAACATATTCTTATGTGAATGAGGGCCTACCTCATGACCCTCGCTTTAAAGCTAAGGTTACAATTAATGGACAAATTTTTGAGAGCCCAGGGGTTTTCTGCACGGTCAAGGAAGCAGAGAATGCAGCTGCAGGAGCTGCATGTGCATCATTGTCACTAGATGACATTCAACTGGCAAGTATTGTTTATAATTAAAGCAGTCTACTCATTATGTGTTCGTTTGCCAGTTCTAGTATCTTCATGAATATGAATATGATTATTCTTCCTTTTGCATATCTTTTTCAGGATGAATATGGTATATATAAAAACCTTTTACAGGAATTAATGCAGAAAGAAGGTTTCTCCATGCCAATATACAATACCACCAGATCTGGTGCATCTCATTTGCCAACATTTTTCTCTAGTGTGGAAATAGAAAAAGAGATTTTTCAAGGGGAAGCAGCTAAAACCAAAAAGCAGGCAGAGATGAATGCAGCAAAGGTTGCATATTTTGTCCTCAAAGAGCGTAAGTAACTGGTTCACATTCTAATTATCCTTAATATCTTTGTTGCAAGATTAATTTTAGCCATTCAACGGCTTCCATTTGGTTCAATTTCTTTGATGGTAAAACTAGCTTAGTTGAACAAAACATGCCATAAAGTTTCAGTTGATTATATTAAAGATCCTCAATGATCAAATGAACTACATGGCATTTCTTTCTAACCATCCAAATCCAGGCATGCTTCTTGTAGCTATCCCAATAAGGGTTTCTAGTTGGTTCCATTTCTTTAGCTGTAGAACTAGCTTAGTTGCATGCTATTAAGTTTCGGTTGATGATGTTAATGTCTGGATATCAAGTTTCATGTGCTTCCCTTCCAATGCAACATCTCTTTTATTGTTATAACTATAAGGCCTCCTTTATTTCCCAAGAAGTGGGTGTCGCTAAGTTGGTGGGTTCCATGGAAAAGAAATAAACTCGCTTTTGTATTTTCAGTATTAGTGGGTTCCGTAGGAAAGAATTATTCCCAGGCGGCTCATTTACCTGGGCAAGTAATACTTGCCTAAGACTTGGGTAAATCACTTACACATCTACGTAGAAAATTGCTAATATATGATGGGACAATATTGTTCTTTCAATAATGTCACTTTTTTTTTGGATAAAATGGTTATTGTACAAATTTACTTGGGGAATAAAAGAACATTGGTAAGTCCACTTATTCGGGTAATGTTTCCCAGGAAATACTTGCCTAGATAAGTTCATTTACCTAGGTAAATGATTTGTTGAGATGTGAAAGAGGCCTAAGAAGCATCCTAGATTTGGATGATTAGATAGAAGTGCTATATAGTTTTTTTTGATATAAAAATAGAAGAGCAACACAAAATGGGAAGTAATGTGTCCCCAAACATCAACGAAGAAGATAAGGAGGGAAGGAGGAAAAGACAAAGAATTTAAATCTAGGATAGTCGAAGAAGAAGATTGAGCCTCATGAGTAAGCCAATCAGTTGCTTGGTTTGCCTCTCTAAACACATGATGGTACGTCAGCCCCCGTTTGAACAAATCTCGCATCCGCATGCAGCTTGAAATCATGTTCCTTAGCTTCCAAGGAGTCCTCATCTTGTGCTTGATACATGATATGACTAGCTCCGAATCGCCCCCAATGACAGGGGTGCTCACAGTTCAGTTAACCAAACCGTGGGCTTATTTTTGAAACCGAACTAGGGTTATTGGTTTTTGGAAAACCGGTAATTGAAACTAAACCGAAGCCGATTGGTTAACCATCGGCTTCGTTTGTTGAATTTACAATATATTATAGAAAAATATATAAAATATAATAAAATGCTAGAAATATATATAATATTATATCTTAAATAATATATAATATATTATATTATAAAATATATATGTATTTATATATATAATGCATATTTATTAATTTATAATGTATTGGAAATATAAAATATACATAATATATATAGTATACATAAATATTCGTAAAATATATATAAATATTTATTCTAGTTAGTTTGGTTAACCGAAACCGAACTAGTACCTTCGTATTTTTTTGAAATACCGAACCAACTGGTTTGGTTAGTCGAATTTTTAGTTCGACTCCGGGGAATTTTTCGATTCACTTCGTTTTTTCGGTTTTTCTTGCTCACCCCTACTTAATGAGGATTGGTTGATTCTTGAAATTCAAAGCTGTTTACTGAACTGAACCTGTTGAGAGAGCTGAGAAGAAGTGGAAGAAGAAGAGAGGAGAGTCTAATGTGTTCGAATGGGCACTGTTCATCAGCCGACCCTATTCACTAATATAAGAGCAATACGTAATTTACATGAAAGGACCAGGATGCCCCTGATTAGTGATGGGACACCCAGTCTAATAAAACACAAGATACAATTAGGCCCAGTTACTAAGGCCCATTAACTAGAGACTCTAATACCCAGCCCAGACAAGAGAATAACAACATATCAGCCCTTTAGTTAAAACATCTGCAATTTGCATCTCTGAGGGAGTGTAAGGAATGCAGAGTTCTCCTGTGACTATTCTTTCTCTAACAAAATGGCGKTCTATCTCAATATGTTTTGTTCTATCATGTTGCACTGGGTTATTTGCAATGTTGATAGCAGCCTTGTTGTCGCAGTACAACTTGAGAGGACACTCAGTCTTCACTCCT